CCTAATCCAGACCACTCACTTAGAGCACTGAAATCCCTTTCTCTCCTGAAACCACCACTCTAATCCACTCTCCACACAAAAACCAGAGAATCTTTTAAATACTGGTTAATCCTCTCTTCCTTCGAATCATCAATCTTATCCCAGTTACTATCTGAAGCAACAGAGAGATAAGTAAATTGCCCAGGGCCACACAGCTAGGAAGTGGCAGAGGCACAATTTAAAGTCCAGTTCTTAGGAGTCCACAATGTCATATCCTGCTATTTTGCTTTTGTTAAACAAGATAATTGTTGTTGTTATGTGCTGTGGAGTTGAGTTGAACCCATAGCAACCCCTCCTTGGGTTTCTGAGGTGGTATCACTATGGAAGTAGATGGCCCAATCTTCCTTCTGAGGAGTGTCTGGTGGGTTTGAACTGCCAGCCTTCTGGTTAGCAGTCAAGTGCCTTAGCCACTACGCTACCAGAGCTCCCAATATAATACTGGGAAAGATTTGGCAACTACCCCGTATGCACTTACAGGAAGTCCGACTCGATGGCAGTGTGTTTGGTTTGGTTTGGTTTCATATACAGTAATGACTAGGTGAAATATTTCTCCCATTCCAAACCCTTAATTTGTCATCATAGCCCATTGTACATTTCCTATAATGTCCCTCCCCTGCTAAATTGTGAACTCCACAAGGACATGAGTCTCTGCCCACCATTGTTGTGTACCATGCACACCCTTGATTGCTCCTTCCATTCCTCAGTGAGTGATGGGGTCCTGCATCTTAACTATCTGGCTCTTAACTATCTGGCCTGCTGATCTACATGCAGGACTGCGTATGAGCTAGGTGGGGCTGAGGCAGAGGCCAGGCAGGGGAGAGGACACAGCCCTACCCCATTGAGCTCAAATGAAGGGACCTGGTACTTGTGTGGGAATGATCCAACTTTGGGTACCTGAGACCTCAATCTCCTGGACCAGAGGTGAAGACACAGATGAGTGTCCCCTGCACTTTTTATCATGTCTACTCTCCTCTCCTGGAGCTTGGATGAGGACAGCTGGATGTCTGCCCCAGGTGCTATACTGGGACTGATAAGGGAATAGACTAAGGAAGGCATGCGGTATAGGGTTGGGGAAGGAAGACAGGGGTATACACAGCCAAGGCCATGGGGCTTCCCCAGAGGCCTGGAAAAAATTTGACCCTGCAAAGTCCTGCTCCTCCCCTTGGCAGCAGTGAGCACACAGTTCAGCATGTTGACCTTCATCTCTTGCCCTGCATTGGAGACATCTGCATCCTTCATGTCCAGCACATGCAGGACTCAGCGTAGATGTCCAGGAAATGCGAAGTCTGACTCAGGCTTGGGAAGCCTTCCTTCCCTGACACACCATTTCCCATCTCCTGCACCTCTATGGTTCTCCAGTGCCTGGGTGCTCTCTGTATTATGGGCTCAAAAGACATTTGTTAAATGAAGTTGGCAAGTTTAATCTTTTCTGAACAGTCGCCAGACCTTGAATCTGCCTAGAATACTCCCCCTTCATTTACCTGCTAACTCGGTTTATTTCAGCACTTGAGGGCTTACTAGATGTCACATTCTTACTGGGCTCAAGGGTCACCTCATCCAGAAAGCCCTCCTGACCTCGTTAGGTTCCCCTCCGCCTCACGCCCACTGCACCTTGGTTGACCTCTCAGCCCCTAGGCCAACATGGTTCTTGACCATAGGAACCACACTTGATTATCTCTGACCATCACCTGGCAGTGTTTGGCACCAAGACCAGGCTCAGACAATACCTTTAGAAGGCACTTTCTCCTAGGGAAGAGCTCAACCTCTGGAGTAGACAGGTCCTGGTGGGGAACCCAACTCTGCCACTGGATAGCATGGGCAAGTTCCTTTTTCACTATTAGCTTGCTAGTCAGTAAAATGGCTGGCTAAAGAACCCAGGAAGAGCTTCTGACTTACCTGGATGACTTGCCAGGAAAGTCATTATTATCCCTTCAACCTCAGAGCAGCAGGGCAAGACAGGTCCTTTAATACCTGGTACCTGTAACTCCAAGGCCTGGGGTAGGTGGTGGAAGCAGGGGAAGTTACAGCGGGGTCCTTCCCTCTGTTGTTGCTAGGTGCTGTGACTCATAGCAACCCCACCTATAACAGGATGAGGCAGTCCTGTGCCTCCTCACAGTTGTTGCTATGTTTGAGCCCATTGTTACAGCCACTGTGTCTCTTTTTACTATTTGAGTTTAAAGCTTACATTATATTTTCAATTATGTTTTCCTTTTGTAATGTGTGTATTTAAACTATAAACTATCCTGTTTCACACAATTCTTTATGTTGTAGTTCCATTATTTTGAAATATTAGAGAGGGATAGAGGAGCCAGCTCTAGATTGTATAAGAGCAAGAGTAGGGATAAATAACAACTATAAACTGCAAAAAGGACATTGTGATGATTATGTTTGTATGTCAGCTTGGCTAGACCTGGTTGAGTGGCTGGGCAGCTGGATGTAGTATTCCCCATGATGAGACTGGTAATCAACTCCATGGTGGAATCTACTATGAGCAGCTGAGTAGCTGCCTTTAGATATGTGATCTGCTTCCTGTATATAAGAAGCTTTGAGAATGGTCTCTAGCCTATGGCACGCTTGGACCCTGCATGTAGCCGTATCGTTGTTCAGCAGCCTGCTATGCTCTGCCAACCTTGGGACTTACAATGGACTTAAGTTAATGGCCTGCCGTGTGGTTTGGTAACATCGGGACTGTGCCCTTTTACTTGTCAACCTTGGGGCTTCTCAGCCTCAGCAGCCAGCAGCTGTCTGAGTGAAGAAATGCCTCTAGCTCCAGTGGGCTGGGAGCAGTAGGCAGAGCTGGACCCCAAGGTTGAGGGGCTTTCACCCAGCCCCCAGAGCCTGGCACTGTGAACTTGGACTTAAAGCCTCCAAATTGTAAGAATAAACTCCTGTTTGTTAAGGCCATCCCATTTGTGGTATATTCCTGTCAGAGTGCCACTAGGTAACCAGAACAGACATGGAGAGACAGAACCACCATCAACAGTCCAAGACTTATTCCTATGAAGCCAGATATGCCTCCACCCTTTCTACTAATTCTGATACCAACTGTACTTTCCCATGGCACTTACTACTTCTCTACTGGATTCAATGCAATGGCCACACAGAATTCACAGACAATACTCACGATTATGGTGTTTATTAGGGAAGTAACAGGCTACAACTCAGGTTCAGGAACACCCTCAGGATACAATTCTTCCTTCAAGATAGTCTCCCCTCTGCTACGCCCACAGGCATACCTCTGGCCCTTGGCCTTTAGGCCTCTGCTCTGCTTGGGCAAGTGTTACAAAGCTCTTTTAGCTCTGCCGATAGGTACACCTATGTGCACCCCACTCTGCCAGCAAACCTCCTGCCCAAAGGCCCTCAGCTTTCTGACTCCATGGGCCACCAGTGCTGGCGCCCTGTCTTGTGCCTCTTGGTTCCACTGCCACTGTCTCTCAGATGGGCATTTTTGCCAGGGCATCTCTGCCAAGGAGGTCCAGTGCAAGGATCTTGGGTCCAAGGACACATTCTACTTCACCTCAGTTCTCTTGATGGCAGTAGGATCCTCATTTCTGCCACTAGGAGGGCTCATTTTAAGCCCAGTAGCGTAGCAAAACTAACCAACCCTCACATTAGAGTTCCATACACCTTATTTGTATGGTCTCAGCCAGTAATCTGGTGTGAGTTACAAAGATTATGGCTAAAAAGCCACACCAAGTAATTCACTGCACCATACTTTACTTGAGTTTGAAGCTTAGATTATATTTTCAACTTTTTTTCCCTTTGTAATTATATGTATTTAAACTATAAACTTTCCTGTATCACACAATTCTTTATGTTGTAGTTTCATTATTTTGAAATGTAAGAGAAGGATAGAGGAGCCAGCTCTGTATTGCTTAAGAGCAGGAGTAGGGATAAAATAATAAGTGCAAACTTTCACCCACACAATAAAAAATAAAATAGTTAACAGCTAACAATTACTGAGAACTACATGTCAACCACCACTTTACATTTGCTACCTATTAATTAGCTCAATAGCCCTATAAGGAACATACTTTTCTTAGCCTGAGTCACCTAAACAGCAGAGCCTGAAATAAGAATTTAGCACCCATGTTTTATTTGGGAGAGGCAAACTCAGGGCGTTGAATAAGAAAAGGCAAGCAAGGCAGGAAAGAATGGAAGGTAATGAATGCAAGGAGATATGTTACCAGGCTGGATGCTGCTTCAAGACAAAAGACACAGTAGTGGATCCATGGGCTGTATGGGAGCCTCCCCAGAGGCTGCACTGTTTGAAGAAATGGTGCCTTGCAGCAATTCATTATTGGGGGGTGGGGTGGAGAAGGTCTGCCAGGCTCTCTCCCATCTTCCATTAGTCCAATTTTACCCACAAGCATTAAGTCCCTACGTTTCTGGATTGCCAGTGGCTACTTAGGATGCCAGATATGTCTTATGGTCAGGCAATTCATCCAGGTCTGGAAGTGGTAAGAGGAGAAATCTGGGCATGTGGCTGGTGAGGAGCAGAGATAATCTGATAAGGTATATGAGATGTGTCCAATACTATCTTTCTCAGGAAACAAGACATATAGTTCCCAAGGTTATATGGCTAGTAAGTGGTAAACTCAGGATCTGAACTGGCTCTGCTAACTGGGAAACCAAGATAAAGAGCTTGGATTTTCTCTAGCAGACAAAAGGGAGTCATTAAATGGTTTCAAGCTGGGGCACAACATGAAAAAAAAGAGCTTAGTAAAGCTACCCCCTCTACTGTGCTCCATCTTCCCATCTGGCTAAACTCAGCCTAAGTAGGTGGCCTCAAAGAGACGAAGACATCCATGACAGAGAAGAACTTTGAGGAGTTCCTGACTGGCTCCAGAGCTTTACTTGGGCATCAACTGTTCCCCATAATCTGTGTCTTCATCTAAGCCTACACCTACCAAAGAGACTAGCTGGTCAAAAGCCAAAATGAAGAGAAGAGGGGGACCAAACTAAAGACCAGGCACAGGAGCATCAGCCCTCTGCTCATTGTTGGCCTGTGGGTCTGGGGATCCAGGCATCCGCATATGAGTCCTTTGGTGTTGCCTGAGATGGTCAGATCTCATGAACTGTCGGCCACACTGGCCACATCTATGTGGTCGATATCTGGTATGTATTCGCATATGTCGTCCAAGCTCATCAGAACGGGAGAAAGTCCACTGACAGCCTTCCCACTTGCATCCATAGGGCCTCTCCCCTAGGGGGAAGGAACAACATGGAAAAGAGAGAATTAAGTAGAGGAACAGGCCAGCAGGTGGATAGGAATGGTCAGGAAGGGCCTGGGTCTGACTTTATGGGGCAGAACAAGGCTTGAGAGTCCAGGAAGACATAGGAAACCAGCCAGGGGCCAACACAATTAGTAGTACCTCTCCTCATCATCTTGGCAGTCATTATGGGTGGCAAGTTGGTGGGACCAGTATAACTTGGTTCCAAAGATGAGAGGCTAATCACAGATGATTACAAACCAGTGTTCCAGCATAGGGTTCTTCCCCTCCCCACCCTAGTTGCCCAACATGTCATTTACCTGTGTGTTTGCGCTGGTGACTCACAAGGTGGGAGCGCTTGGTATAAGCTTTTCCACAGTTGTCATAATTGCAGAGGTAAGGCCTTGAAACTGGGGATCTCCTCCTGAGTGCCCCTTCCTGGGCCCTGGAGTTCTTCTCTGTTGTCTGTGGAGCAGGTATGTGCTGCTCAGGTATGAAGGAGCCTTCCTGGGAGTCTGGAAGGCTCATAAGAGAGTTCTGGGAGTCTAAATCCAGCAATGATGAGGACACAGACGGGTGCATCCCAAAGTTGTGGGGATCTCTAGGGGGCAACATCTCAGTCAAAGAAGGGAGCATTGTCTGGGCCTCAGTAGAAGACATGGTTGGGGCCAATAACATTCTATTGGTTGAAGAAGCTGTGTTAGAAGGTACCATTGGGGTCCCAGAATAAGGCATTGTTGGAACCCTAATATGGGACATTGGGATTGCATTGGAAGTAGAGTCTGGTGGTCTACTGGAAGGCATGCTTAAATTCCCACCGAAGGTCAAAGGCATCCCTGGAATACTGGGCTCTCCAGAAGGCATCATCTGAGACCTATTGAAAATCTTCATCTCTGGCTGGGAGGGAGATTCTCCCTGACGGCAAATCATCTGCGAAAGCATAAGAGTCGCTTGGGGGAAGTAGCTCATATCATGCTCAGGAAATGACATATTGAAATGTGGCCTCACTTCAGCCACATTCTGCCTGGGTGCTTCAGCAGACACCAATGGGGTCCTCGCCAGCTCTGTGCTCTGTGGAAAGTGTTGAGTTCCTGGTGGGCCATGGTTCCAAGAATTGTGCATGCTACTGCTTCCAGGTGATGGAGACATGTCCAGGAGGGACGGTGACTGCTCAGTAACCTTGAAAAGAGTGAAGATGGTGCTAGCTCAAATCCCAATTCTACATGTCCTTCCTCCCCATCCCCAATGATCCCATCCTAATCTAGGCCTCCACCATCTCTTGACTGAATTATCCTGGCTCCAGACCACCATCCAGCTTGTGCTTTTTAAAATGAAGGTCTAACTGATAGGATTGTGATGAAAGTCTAGATACGACTCATGCTGGTTTCCTCCTTGGCACGTTTTTTTCATCCAAAGCAACAAAGAGAATAAATATCCCACAACTTATACCTTTAACAAGACTCGGATAAAACACCCAAACTCCAAATTTTACATGAATAAAGATGAAATGATACCCTAAACCATCAAGATACATGCAGGAAGCCACAAAGGTAGGAAAAATGGAAGATTCAGAGGGGTCCTCATTTTAATGAAACTTCGAAATCATCTGCAAATATTCATCTCCAGAAGAGAGCCTCACCTTGCATGTCAACTGCTGTGGGCAGGTCTGAGAATGATCATGTAGATGAGATGAAGAGGCAGGGATAAAAAACAAGGGATCATTTTAGAAGTCAGGGGCAATATCCCTTGATGGCTGTGATTGGTATGAAGGGAAGGAAAGAAGAGTTTGGTGGTAAATGATCCTTAAAAGCAAGGATCCATCCCAAGGAAACAAGGAATCTAAGAATCATATTTAAAAAAAAAAAAATCCATTACTATAGCAATAGAAGAGGGAGCTCTTCAACTGAGAAACTGGGATCTCCTATCCACTCCCCCACTGAGACGGTTCGGAAAAGACCAATTCATTCAAATATGAAAAGAAAAACAGAAGTGAAAAATTAAAGATTCTAATTTCTCAAAAGAAAAATAAAATTCACTAGAAAAAATGTTGCCACAAATTAAGAAAAACACAAATGAAAACAAAAACTTAAGGAAATAATTACAGCTATACAGGAACACCGCCTAGGAGCTCTGGTAGCATAGTGGCTAAAGCACTTGACTGCTAACCAGAAGGCTGGCGGTTCAAACCCACCAGCCACTCCTCGGAAGGAAGGTTGGGCAATCCTACTTCTGTAGTGATACTGCCTCGGAAACCCAAGGAAGGGTCGCTATGAGTCAGGGCCGACTCGACGGCACATAACAACAACAACAACAACATACAGGAACACCATGAAACAGATACAGAGTAACTGAAATAAGTTATGTGCAGACAACTGGATAGGGGTTATTTTAGGAGGGAGGGAGAAGGTAGAGATAGAGATGGGCAATGAAGGGGCTTCTAGGGGGTGAGCAACGATGTTTTATTATTTTTTAATCTGAGTAGCAGTTTCAAAGGTATTTATAATTAAACTGTACGCTTATGTTCACTTCTGTATTTGAGTGTTATTTTCACAGTAACATGGTTTAAAAATAAGTTAATGTTGTGGGAAAAAATCAAGATTTTCAGTACAAATGAAAAATTCTATTATAAAAATCAGAAAAGTGAAAATAAGACTAAATTTAAACTGAAAATATTCTATACAAACCCACAAATTCTAAAAATAAGTACTTTATGCCTATAAAAGCAGTTATCACTCCAGTAATAATTGAGCATCACTAGTGCCCAGATTTTGGTCTTTAATTTCACTCCTCATTAAGGGAAAAATGAATGCTTTTTGGAGAATATGCTGACTCCAAATCTAACACAAAGAAAGTATAAGCCTGATATACCTTGTTGTACCAGAAAAGTTGATTAATATATCAAAAGGACACAGGGGTCTGTTTGAAGGGGTTCCCACCTGGCTGAATTTGTAATAAATTGGGCATCAAAAATAATTATTGATTAAAATAGATTGAATTCAATGAATGTATGAAAATTCATGAGATCAAAGTGACAACAGACCAGCTATTAACCCAACTTTGAACACCGGTAATTAAAATGAAATAATTAAGCATTTATTCTGTCCTGCCAGTCAGATATTATTATTTCAAAACTACCAATTGATTTCAGTTGAAGAAAAGTTCTGCTTTAACAGAAGAATAAAAATTAATATATGTAGAAGAAATACGGAAGTTGAAAAATCATTATTTTGCAACCTCTGATGAAATTTTTTTATTGAGGCAAAAATATGTGGTATTATCAGTTAGTTAACAGTTGGTGGGAAATTGGACTTTTAAATGTGTCTAAGGCAATATCAAGGAGCATCAATAATTTTGTCTTGTAGAGGAGAAGGGTGTTAAAATGATTTGCTTTACAACAATCCATCTCTATTTGCCTGGAACAGAGGAAGAAAAGGAATAGGATGAAGATATGGACTGCATGGCTAAAAGCCTCCATGAACAACTGTCTCTCTTGCCATGAGACCAGAAGAATGGGATCTTTTGATCAAAGATTCCATAGAAGAATTCAGATCAAAAGAGGGGAAAGGCAGAACAGAATTTCAAATTCTCATAGACACTGGACTTTCTGGAGCATGGAGGATGGATGAACCCCTGAAACTACTGCCTTGAGATAATCTTTAAATCTTAAACCAAAATTATCCCCTGAAGTCTTCTTAAAATCAAACGTTAAGCTTAACTAGTAATAAAAATCTGCCTTGAGCATCACGCTCTTTTAAGAACTATATGTTAGAGGCTAATGGAGCCACTGAGACTACAGCCCCTAGCTGCCTGCCCTTCAGGTCTGGAATGGAACCCACTCCTATGGCTTCCAGCCAAACAAAAGACAGACATATGAGGTGAACATTTGCACTAGGTAGATACACTTGGGTAGAACAATCATGGGAGAACAGAAGGGCCACGTATGCACAGGGAGACAGCTCAGGGGGCAGGACTGCATGGAGGGATGGACACAGGGAAGAGGTAACTATGGGGAGGAAGTAGAAGGGGAGCTGTTGCATTGTGGCAAATTGTAGTCAATGTCATGAGACAAAGTGTATGTGAACTGCTGTATGGAAAGTGAATTTGTTCTGTAAACTTTCACCCAAATCACAATTAAAAAAAAAACAGAGCTATCTACATGGGATCACAACAGCAGCTTGAAAGATTAGACAGGAACTGTAGGAGGCAACGAGCTTATGTTAATGAGGGAGGAACAACTCTGAAAAGGAGAGGGAGAATAATTACACAACTCAAAGAATATAATCAGTGTCACAAATTGTATATGTAGAAACTGTTGAATGTTTTGCTGTGTATATTCCCAACAACAAAATTAATGAAATTCACAAGAAAAAAAAGAGTATGAGGCCTAAAAATACGTAGAGAAACAAAAGTGGTACAGAGGTGTGTCAGGGCCTTAATACAATTATTATTAAGTTATTTTTCTGGGAAAAAAATTATTTGTTCTATGTTTCACATGAGCCATTCCACAAATATTTTGTAAGTGTCAAGTTGAGAGAAGAAGGAGCCCTGGTGGCACAATGGTTAATCACTCAGCCACTAACCAAAGGGTCAGCATTTTGACCCCACCAGGCACTCCATGGGAGAAAAATGTGGCAGTCTGTTTTGTGGAGATTTATAGCCTTGGAAACCCTATATTCACTGCCATCAAGTCGTTTCTGACTCATACCCACCCCCATTGGGTTTCTAAGGCTGTAAATCTTTACCAAAGTAGATCACTCAGTCTTCCTTCTGTGGAGCAGCAGTTCTAACTGTCCTACAAGGATGCCAAGAAAGAACCAACTGAATGCCAGCAATGGGTTTGTTTTCAGGTCAGGTAACACTGGTGAGACATTGGCGGCTCACTGGTAGAATTCCAACCTTCCATGCTAAAGGCCCTGATCACTCCCACCCAGTGTACCTCCTGAGCAGCTACCACACGTCTGTCAGTGGTGGGCGTCATGTTGTGATGATGCTGAAGGAGGAAGAAAGGCCTGGGGATCTCCTTCTGAAAATCAGCCAATGAAAACACAGTGACGCAATCTGAAACTGATCACAGGGATGGCTCAGGACCTGAGCATATTTGTTTGGTTGTTTAGGGGGTCGCCATGAGGAGGGCCAACTCATAGGCAGCTAATAAGATAACATCACACAGATTACTTTCTGTCCACAAGGGTGAAAGGTAACTTTGAATAGTGAGATCAGGTAACTGATCTAAGCCCTTAATACAAAGGCCAAAATCTAGTATACTAAAGGGGGGGAAGCCAGATGTAATATAAGATGAAGCCTCCCACAGAAGGCATTCTTACCCAAAATCTCTAATCCAATTAAGCTTTAAAATCTAATTCCTATTTAGAGGTAATACAAGGAATTACCTTGATCAGATCAAACTGATACCAGAAGAAAGCAATCTGGTAATTGTAAAAGAAAGAATATTCTGTAAGACAAACGTCAGGATTATGGAGGAAAAAAAAAAAAGAGTCAGGTTTATGAACAAAGAAGCTATTTTAATGTAAAAGAGAGGCAAGAGACATAACAGATGCAATATGTGGTTTTGGATTGGGTCTAGATTTGGGCATACCAGCCTAAAATACATCTCAGGAACTAGGGAATTTGAATAAAGTCAGCACCACAAAGAGGATTTAAGAAATTATCATTAATTTTCACAGATTTGATAATGCAGTTTTGCCTATGCAGGAAAATGTGTCTGCACAGGAAAAAGACCCCCAAGCATTGAGGAGATCCTGTCTATTTAATTCACATTATGTCCTCTGAAACTAACATAAGGCCAGACACATAGAAGGCATCAGATAAATGTCTCTTAGGTAGGTATTTCTGGATGCTCACCAAGGGCTTTTTCTCTCTCCAGTCTCCCAATCTTCTTTAGAATTATCTAAACATGCCTTCACCACCATTACCTTGACTTATCATTCCTCCAGATCCACTCTGGCCCCCATCTTGCCAAGGTCACCAATGACTTCCATGTCACTGAATCCAAGCAACACTTTCAGATTCTTTCTTGCTTGACCTCTCAGGAGCTACTGAAACTATTGGCCACACTCTTCTTAAAATGTACTCTTCCCTTGGCCACATGCAACATGCTTTCCTGGTTTTCCTCCTTCCTTTATCCCTGGCCCCCTCCTCCCCAATCTCCTTAGCAGACTTCCCTTATTCTACTGTCTGTGTAGTCTTTTCTATGTTAATGGTTCTATTCTTGTCCATATTCCAATTCTTCCTAAATCTGTAGCTCCTTCTGCATGTATCACTTCTGGATTTTCCAGCTGCCTATTGCTCAGATACGTTTGGATATCCCACTTCAAATGATTATGAAACTCATGACCATCCATACCCGCCCTTTGAAAAAAAAGAACTAATCCTGTTCCATCTCATTCCTTGTCTGCAGAAAACATCAAAAACCATTCTCACTCAGATATGCAATTCAAAAATCTGTATCCTGGATACAGAATCCTGGATGCTTCTCTTATCATCTAAAAAAAAAAAAAAAAAAAAAACCTCACTTCCGTCGAGTCGATCCGGACTCATAATGACCCCTCCTTGGGTTTCCGAGGCGGTATCTCTATGGAAGTAAGTTGCACAACCTTCCTTCCAAGGAGTGGCTGGTGAGTTTGAACCCCAGCCTTCTGGTTAGTAGTCAAATGCCTTAGGCACCACGCCACCAGAGCTCCAGGGGGGAAAAAAAATTCACTGCTGTGGAGTCCAGTCATAGCCACGCCTCCTTGGGTTTCCGAGGCGGTATCTCTACTGAAGAGCTAGATGCTATTAATTATCAATTCTTTTGGACTCTATCTCCAAAACATCTCTAGCCCTATTCACTTTTCTCCATCTCCACTGTCATCTCTTTAGTTAGGCCACTATTTTTAATTTCCACCTGATTATCACAGTAGTTTTCTAACCATTGCCTTGTATTCTTCTCACATCTGTCACGCCCACGCACTACCCCCCCCCCAAAAAAAAAAAAAAAAACCTGCCATCGAGTAGATTCCAACTCACAGCCATTCCCATTGGGTTTCCAAGGTAGTAAATCTTCCTTCCTCTGTGAGGCTGGTGAATGAACTGCCAACCGTCTGGTGAGTAGTCAAATGCCTTAGGCACTACACCAGCTCCTTGCCATGTTGCTCTTTAAATATGCAAATCTCATTGTGACTGATCATGTTTAAACTCAGTGGTTTCCTGTTTTGTTATGTGCCTTAGGCACTATGCTACCAGAGCTCCTACTGCTCTAGAAATAACCAAATCAACTCCTGCATGACCTAGATGATGTCCGAGGCTGGGGCTTACCTCCCCTTGACCTACTGTTCCATCACTCTTAGCATTGGTCTCACAGTCTATCATTCAGTTTCCCCATATTGTCTCTGGTCTTAGGGCCTGGAAATTCTTCACCTGACCAGTTCTCCAGTCCAGACAAAACCCTCAGATGTCTTCTCTGATCCCCTAAATCATATCAAACAATTCTATTTGCTCCCATGCCCCCCCCCACTCCTCCTTCACAAGAAATTTGTTGACTTCCAGTCAGTTTTCCAATCAGGTAATGATTTATGATAAAACAATATATTGTCTTGGTGGCGTAGTGCCTAAGGCATTTGACTGCTAATCACTAGGCTGGCAGTTCAAACCCACCAGACACTCCTCCAAAGGAAGGTTGGGCAATCTACTTCAGTAGTGATGTTGTTGTTGTTATGTGCCATCGAGTCAAACCCGACTCATAGCGACCCCTCCTTGGGTTTCCGCAGTATCACTACGGAAGTAGGATTGCCCAACCTTCCTTCCGAGGAGTGGCTGGTGGGTTTGAACCACCAGCCGTCTGGTTAGCAGGCAAGTGTCTTAGCCACTATGCTACCAGACACCGCCTCGGAAACCCACGGAGGGGTCGCTATGAGTCGGATCCGACTCCACGGTAGTGTATTTAGTTTTTTTGGTTTTGGTAAACTCTCCATTGTATTCCCAGGGCCTGGCAAAGGCCTGGAACTTACTACCCCTTCAATTAAATTTAAAAAAAATTTTCCCTGACGGCTTCCTGCTGACTCCCCAACTCTATCTTTGCTTACCTGGGGTACCCGAACCCTCCACCTCTCCCTCTACAAGAAGTTGGCTAAAACGTTTGAACCCCAGCACCCAGCACAGGGATAAGTATTAATTGAATAAACGACATGCGATTCTGTCCTTGATCTCCCATCCTTCTCCTTCCTAACTACCACCCTCAGGTTTCTAACCCCCACCCTATCCCTTTCCACCCTAGATTTCTGATTCCCTCCCTTGGGCCAGCACCCACCTGGCCTTGAGGCTAATGCCTGGACTCACCATCAAGCGCTGGTGCTGCATGGCCTTCTGCCACTGGCTCAGCCCCTCGGCCTCCTGATCCATTTTGGCCTCGAATCGGCTGCACCTCTGGAATATGTGTGAATTCAGATCCACTTCAGACCAGAGCTGAGGCCCTCTGCAGCAGTGGCGTCGCAGCTCGGGTCTCCAGGCACCACCACGCCACAATCACTGCGCTCAGCTTCTAGTTCCCGCCGCTGAAGGGGGCGGAGTCAGGGGCGGTGCCCTGCCAAGGCCCATCAGCAGCCAGCCCCACCCTGCCCGCCCCTGCCCGCCTACCTGATTTTCACGAATAGGGAATCTCACACCTTTACCACTTCTTGAAGTAATTAAACTTGGCCCTGCCTTTCCTACCGATTCACCCTCCAGTTTGAGCCTGTTGGACCTAAGTGGGCCATGGAAACTCCACGGTTTCAGACTCCCGAGCAAGGCTGAGAAATGTGGAAAGGTTGCTGGAGGGGGTGGCTCGGTCAGGCATAGGAATGAATTTCCTCAGCAGACTGGAGAGCCTCCTACCCACACCAGGTCAAGGCTCTTGCCCTAAGGTCCTGGAGGGCTGTCTCGTTGCTGCAGGCTGGGTACCCGCTATTTGTCCTGTTGTCTGTCCAAGCTGAACACTGAGTGCTTCGTGGGCACAATTTCTTTATTTCACAAATATTTATTGAGTACGTAATGTGTCCCAGGCACTGGTTTCAGTAACTAGAGACAACAAATCTTTATGGAAGTAGATTGCCCCATCTTCCTTCCGCAGCGTGGCTGGAGGGTTTGAACTCCCAACTTTCCGGTTAGCAGTCAAATGCCACCAAAGCTCCTTACAGTGGCAAACAAGATTGAATAATGTCCTTGTTCTCAAGGAATTTCCATCCTAAAGGGACACAAGAAATTAATAGTAAAATCAATAACGAATATAGTTTCAGATGTTGGTGAGTGTGATGGAGAACTCAAGACAGAATAATGTGAGCTGAGAAAAGAATCAGCCAAACGAAGATCATAGGGATGTGAGGCAAGAGAGAGTGTGACTGTTAGAGGGAGAGTAAGAAAGCCGAGGAAGAGTAACATGATGTGAGGACAGAGACGAGCAGGACAGACTGCCTTAGGTCCTTGAAGACCAGGGAAAGTAGTTTGGATTTTCTTCTAAGTGCGATGGGAAATCACTGAAGGATTTTTTTTATCCAGATAAATAATTTTTAAAAAAATTTTTATTGTGATTTGGGTGAAATTTTACAGAGAAAATTCATTTTCCACACAGCAGTTCATACACATTTTGTTTCATGACATTGACAACAATTTTCCACAATGTAACAGCTCACTTCCCACTTCCTTCCTGTAGTTACCTTTTCCTTCTGTCCTTTCCTATGCATTCCTGCCCTCTATCTCCCTATGCAAATACTGCCCTCCTCTTCTCCCATGATTGATTATCCTAGGAAGTGTATCTACCTGATGTAAATGCTCATCCCATATGCCTGTTTATTGTTTGGCTGGAAGCCTCAGAAGTGAGTTCAATTCCAGGCCTGAAGGATAACAGGGAGCCATTGTCTCAGGGGTCTCACCAGACTCTATCAGACCAGCAAACTGTTTTTTTGTCTTGTTTTGTTTTTTAATGATTTTGAGTTTTGTTCCATATTTTTCTCCCACTCTATCCAGGACCTCCTCCATTGATCCTTTTCCAAGTGGTTCACAGTGGTACCCAGGCACCATCTAGTTCTGGTCTCATGGTCATACAGGCTGAGATTTCCATGGTCCACTAGTCCCTTGGACTAATTGCGGAAATGACTGAATAATTTTAAGCAGGAAATTGATATGACTTGATTTACATTTTAAAATAATCATTTGGCTCCTTTGTCGTTGTTGTTGTTATGTGCCGTCGAGTCAAACCCGACTCATAGCAACCCCTCCTTGGGTTTCCGAGGCAGTATAACTACGGAAGTAGGGTTGCCCAACCTTCCTTCCGAGGAGTGGCTGGTGGGTTTGAACCGCCAGCCGTCTGGTTAGCAGGCAAGTGTCTTAGCCACTATGCTACCAGAGCTCCCTTGGCTCCTTTGAGGCTTATGAATTATTGGGGACAGAGGAGGAGAAGGAAGATGGAAGCAGAAACACCAGTTAAAAAGTTAAGAGTCCTCCAAGGAAGAGATGGTGTTTTGGTGGATGGTGGCAGTGGTGGTTAGAGAATATTTTGGAATTAAAAAGGAGCAGAACTTGGTAATGGACCAGAAGAGTGACATCTACAAAGGAATGATGACTGCACTCCCATTTGGTGACAATGGAAAGATGGGAAAAGGAACAAATTTGGAGGCAGATGAAACAAGAATTCCATTTTAGACATGTTGACTTTGAAGAATCTATTAAGTGTGTTCAGGGAGAGATCAGGCATAAATGTACATTTGGGTGTTGTCAGCATAGATATGGTGATGAGACCTTATATATAACTTCAAAGATTTGCTAGGAATGAGAGCAGAGAAATGAGGTGGTAGTGAGAAGGGAAGGTAGAGTGAAGGGAGGTCATGTTATAGGCTGGTGGGGACCTTTCAATACAAAAGAAATAAATATTGAAACTGAGAGGGGGCTAAATTGCAGAGCCAAATTCTTAGTAAGTTAAGTAAGAGAGGATGGGGCCCAGGGTACAAATGGATTAGTGGACCTTTGGTTAGAGCAAGGATATTTGCTCTATCTAATAGGTAGGACAGAGAGCATCTGTGTCTCAGCTACCAGTACTGGATGGGGCTAAAGGGAGGCTTTAAGAAATGGTGGCTATGATGCAATTACTAACACCTGCTCAGGCCCCAGTCAGGTATCACCTCATCCAGAGGCCCTATCTGACTCCTATTTGGTACCTCTTCCAATTCCCACACTCCTAGTGTCTCTCCCAGCATACCCATTGCTGGTGACTCAATTCTGACTCATAATGACCCTATAGGACAGAGTAGAACTGCCCCATAGGGTTTCCAAGGCTGTAATCTTTATAGAAGCAGACTTCCACATCTTTCTCCCACAGAGCAGACTAGTGAGTCTGCTAGTGAGTTCAAACAACCTACCTTCCAGTTAACAACCAAGCACTTTAACCACTGAGTCACCAACATGGCACTTACAAAATATGTGTGGAATGACTCATGTGAAACGTGGAGTAAATCATTTTTAACACCTCCCCCACAAGAAAGTTATTTTCATAATTGTAATTTCATATTTTCAACTAATCACGAAATGAAACAATAATAATGGCCAGAAAAGAAACACAGAACCAAGAATTTTCTTTTATTGACCTTTTTATGAATACTCATCCCAGTAAATTAAATAAATAGAATTAATATTATGGTACAAAAAAATGAAGGAAAAAAACTATTTCAATCACTTTTACATCCACCTAATTGTTCAAACTTTTCAAACTTTGATCCTTTAATTAATCTGATGTAATACTTTATGTAAATGGACATTCAGTAACTAAAAAGTGGATTTTAATAGAACCAAAACATCTGGAAAAGGTACAATTTAGGCAACAATTAAATCACACCATTGGCATCACATTCAGTTTCCAGGTTTATCTTTTGTTTTAAAATAATTAACAATTTTAAAAGAATACATTTTCATTTTAAAAAGTATTATTCAAATTCAGTAAAATATTTCAAGTATGAACTAAAATTTGCACTTACTAAGCAAAATTATGTCACATCTCAGTTTGCCCTCTATTTCATTAGCTTAAATTTTAACGCAAAAACTCCTACCGGTTAGGCAGAATGACAAAAATGTTCTATTTCTTTGGCTTTACAACCACTGGTTGTAAGTCATGGTTGTTTATTTTGAATCTACTGTTTAAACACAGGAGTATCTAGTGTTACAGGGGTTGGAGACATAAATTATTCCCAAGGTGGGCTCCAAACATGAATAGCTGAGCCCATATAACTATGTCTTCTCCAAATTAACTTCCAAGTTCTTGTTAAGTTAAGAGACCATGGAAAGTAGTTTGTGTTGTTTATTAAAGGACCAGTAATAAAAATGTGCTGATTTGAAGCTTACATATATCAATAAAACTCAGTAACAATTGTTTAGATCAACAAAAGGTATTTCTGGAGAGGAGTATTTTATCATGTATTATTTTAAATTACCAGCAAATGGCAATAATAAAAAGCAGACCAACTTTTAGTCAGATATATTATTATATTGTATTTAATTCTCTACAGGTGGTGCACCCTTTGCCTGCATAGTGCAGACAAACACCCCCATCCCTGCCCAGCCCTCAACATGCCACAAGAATGAATGAGGCAAAGGAACAACTCAGGGTTCTCCTCTGGGCTTTAGTCAGGTGGCCTTGCATTTGCTCTTCTCCCCATGTCTCCACCTGCCAACTCCATTTGTTTAAGCCAACATTTCTTGAGTGTCTAGGTCATCTCTTCCAGGAAGCCTTTGCTGCCCTGCCCTCCTCCCCACTTCTGTGCCCTTCTACTAGAGGTGGTCCTTGAGTGAATTTCTGGGACCAATTGGGATTCATCCACTCGTGGCCACTGTGTTCATGGAATGTTGCTAAACTTGTCATTGGGTTACAATGTGAAGTCTGGAGTCATGGCCTAGGTTTGAATCTCAGCACTGCTTCCGGTCCTGAGATTTTGGAAACTGTAATTTAATCTTCTTGATTCTCAACTTTCTTCATCAGCACCCAGCAGCTGAAAGGATTAGCTCCGTCATTTGTGAATGATCCATTAATGGCTTTATTCCGTCAAGCCCTCCAGGTCAGGGCAGAGTAGCACAGAGCCAGCCCCACCTTTCAGTTTATTTTTATTGTGGACACCTGGAATACCAGGGACTTGTGGGACAGAGGAGCTTATTCTGGGGTCCTGACTCCTGTCTTAGCCCAAAGGCACTGACTAAATCCATAATGGATAAATAGATGAATGAATACAGTTGACATATTTGAGAGCCCTTAAGGCAGTAGTCCTTGAGGAGTGCTGGTGGCATAGTGGATAAGGCACTTGGCTGCTAGCCAGAAAGTCAGTGGTTCAAACCCGTCAGCCACTCCAAGGAAGGAAGATGGGGCAATCTACTTCCATAAAGGTTTA